CTGTGGGCGGGATGGGCGGCGTGAGGCCGAGAGCGGCGCGGGTGTTGACGATGGGGTTTTGAAAGGAGGAGCAGAAGGAGGGGGAGATAAATGATGATAACAATAATCCTTATAATAATAAGAGGAAGTGGGGAGTCAGGTGTGGGATGTCGGCCATGCTTCCCTTTGGGAATAAAAGGAAAAGTTTTGAGAAATTTAAGACACTAAATGGAATAATGATCACCTCGCCCTCCGGAAGACCTAAGGACAGCAAGAAAAACGAACGCCGAGGCAGCGGCGAATGCCAAAAGAAAAAAAGTAAATCGAAAGAAATCTCTCTCCGCCGAGACGAGACCTGGATTTCAGCTCGCGTGCGGCGGATGCGGTGGCGGGGCGGATTGCGGAGGAATCTTGTTGGAGGTAATGGAGGATTGTTTATGCAATGCCTTGTTCCCCTCGCCATGGCGCTTGTTTGTTTGTCTGGCGTAGGGAGGGGGATGCAAGTAGGATGAATAATGACGATGGCGATGTTGATGGCAGCGCTAATGATGCGGGTGCTGCTAATGACGTTGTTATTCATGTTATTACCCTACTGCTGCTGCTGCTACTACTTCTACTTTTACTACTACTACTACTACTACTACTACTACTATTACTACTACTACTACTACTATTACTACTACTACTACTACTACTACTACTACTACTACTACTACTACTACTACTACTACTACTATTACTACTACTACTACTATTACAACAACTATTAATACTACTAGTATTACTACTACTACTACTACCATTACTACTATTACTCTTATTGCTACAGCTACTACTACCACCAGCACCACCAGAAGAGGAACGGAAAGACTGATGCTAGAAATCAGTCTAAGAGATGGGAAGAGGAGAACCTGGGTCAGGAAACCGACCAAAGGGAAGATACGAATATACATAGGAGAGTTAAAAAGAGGAAATGGCAATGGACAGGTCATATATGGACGAAAGGTGGATAGAGACAGTAACGGGCTGGAATACTGTTAACCCAGAGCGACCAAGGACAGACTAGTCGCAGATGGCCTGGCAAAATAATTCGCAAGATCGGAAGGGATGGAGAGGACTGGGAGCTTACGTCTTCCAGTGGAATGTTACAGGCTGATGATATTATATATATATATATATAATATATATATATATATATATATATATATATATATATATATATATATATATATATATATTGTGTGTGTGTGTGTATGTGTATGTGTATGTGTAGTATGTGTATGTGTGTGTGTGTGTGTGTGTGTGTGTGTGTGTGTGTGTGTGTGTGTGTGTGTGTGTGTGTGTGTGTGTGTGTGTGTGTGTGTGTGTGTGTGTTGTGTGTGCGTGTGTGTGTGTGTGTGCGCGGGCGGGTTTATTTTTGTAAACAATGAAATTACTATTAACTAGGGAAACTCTAGTAAGGATTATAATGTTCCGTGATAATATTTATTAGAATAAAGGTAATGATGGTTATCATGATAATACAGCAGTGTATGTTTTATGGAAAAATAGCGAATCACTGATAAAGGCAATGAAAATAATATCAAAGGTGACAAATCATAAAATCGTCAAAAAATTGTTATCTACATGACAGCTGGACTTTAAGGAGTAAACCAAATGAACAGTGAAAAATAAGAAATTCTGGCAGTGGTTGGTCGCCAAAATGCACTTTATGATACCGGCTTTCCCAAACTAGAGAGAAAAAAGAAAGGCATATGGTTAATGTCTATAGGGACGGTCATCAAAACAAAAACACAACACTGGTGGGCAAAAGGTCAACAATGGCCGCTGAATCAGCTGTGAGAAGGATGTCAGCCTAATACGAATCTCTCGATTTAGTTGCTAAAAAAGTTATGATGAAAAACTTAAGTATTCTAAAGGTACAGAAAGCTTACCAGATCCTTTCTCTCTCTCTGATGGCTGGTCTGAAAGCCCCAATGGTTGGCCCGATGTTAGTTTTGGTGATATTTTTCTCTACCTAATACACACGCCGGGTAGTTACACAAAAGAGGAGTTGAAAGCCTACAAATCACTCGAAGCTTTCAAGTATTTTTCTTAAGTTTTAAAACAAAACAGGATAATGGAATTTGGTATTTAACATAAGAAAAATCAGAATACAGCTATCTGTATTCGCTGGGCCATACTAACTGTTTGGTTGACCGACCTTTATACAAACACCTGGTGTTTACACATACAAAGAATTAAAGGCCTACAAATCTCTGGAAGGGTACAAGTAAGTACTCAATACTGTTTATTAGACTGGTTCGTAGTCGTAGGACTAAATTCTCCTGAATTTGTGAAATTCTTTCTTGCTCTTTGCCTTTTAGGCCCGATTTTTCGAAAAGTTGCTCAAGACAGGGGTTTCCTAGAAGACTTTTCTAAAAAGTTAAATTTACATTCCCACGCAATACTCATCATGATACCTTGAAAAGATTTAAGCAAATTTCCTAAAGTTCTTAAGAGCGCAGTGTAGCAGTCATTC